ACTTGTTTGATGACTTATCTAATGCTGGAAACCTACTGTATACCCTACTTACTGTATTACTGATTCTTATGCAGGGCTAGAACATATGGTTAGATCCAGAATTCTCATGGGTGCAACTCTGCTCAAAGGATACTCCCATTGGGGAAAATCGGAAAGGAAGACACAATTTTTTTACAATGGGCAAAATCCTGTTGTGCAACTTTGTGCCCTGCAATGAGGATTGGGCTCTGGAAGCTTTTAATTTAAAGTTCTTAAACACTTCCTATGCTCCTCTTTTTTGGGTTCTGAGGCTCCCTGGGGCTCTCTTTTGTGCTGGGAAAGCCTTTGGAAGCCTTGGGATGGGGGTGGGAGCCTTTAAATGTAAAAAAATCACCACCGGATTGAAGACAGTTGGGATCAGGACTATCACCAGTGATCCACAGGCAATTTTTACTATTAAAGGTTCCCTTCCATGTTCTGAGGCTCCCAAATCCTTTCCTTGGGCAAAAGGCAGCTCAAGAAAGCCTTGGGACTTAAAAGGAGGGACTTGGGAAGCTTTTAATAACTTTAAATTAAATGCTTCCAAAGCCCAATTTAGGTAACGTTGTGCAAAGTTTGCCCGGTCTATCCCCTCATTTGGTACTCCTCATGTCTAGTGGCTATTTGACCTGATAAATTTGGGGCACTCAAGAACAGCACCAGTATAGGTGTAGAAAATGGAGGCAGTAAGGAAAAACTGCCTCACTCTTTCCTCTGGCAGAAGATTCTGTGGGATTTCAAGGCCTTCTGAAAACTGAAAGAGACCTTTCATTTGCAGGAGGGACACTATGGACCAAAGCTGGGAGAGTACACATTATGAGTGGACATAGTTAACTGAAGTTGTGGATATTAAGAATACAGTACATTTCTAATCCTATGTAGGAAGTAGTTACAGTGTAACAAGAAAGTCTTCTTAGTTGCTTTGAAAAGTTACTTTTAAGACCACTTAGAAGGATTCTGACACAATTTTTCACATTCTACAACATTAATTTATTAATCTGCAGCGGCAATAGAGGCAGTGTTTTGCTTCATCTTCCATATTTTAAGTACTTTGAGGTACAGTTCAAATTGGGTTCAAGAGAGGACTGGATAGCATTTCCCTCTGGTGGCTGGTAATGCAAAGCAACCTACAGTAGTACCTCAGTTTACGAATGCCTCAGTTAACATAATTTTCGGTTTACGAATGGAAATCCATTGAAAATAATGCCTCGGTTTATAATTTTTTTTTTCAGTACGAAGAAAGTTTCCCAAAGATGCATTGTGCCTGGAGGTTTATAGGACCATCCCATTCCTATGGCAAACTGCATTTTGATTTACGAACTTTTCGCATTATGTAACATCCTAGAGAACGCATTAAATGCATAAACTAAGGTACTACTGTATTAATAATGTACAATGCAGCAAGCAACTTTTGTGGATGAAGCAACAATAACTATAACTATAATCTCACAGTCTCAAACCAAAGAGTCACAGAAGACCTTCCCTTAAAATATATACACACTTCAAGCTATGGTCTGGATCTAAATCAAAAATGTTAGGCATACCTAACTTGTTTGTTTGGTGTGTCCAAGGACCCTGGAATAAAGGCAGACGTTAAAGATCAAGAAGGTTGGGTCTGGATGGAAACCACTGAAGAACCATATGTACTTTCTTTTGCACTCGTGTCTTTTTCCCTACCCTCTAATCCTGGTACATGTTAACCTTCTCTGAGCAGTAAAACTCCCACAATTCTACAGCCAGCTTAACTTTCAATTAATGAACATTTGGAGTCTTCCACCCATCTATAACATTACAGCATAATTGAAAAAAATGTACAGTTCTGAACTTAAGTTGTTGAAATCTGTCAAATAACTTGCCATATAACTTCCTAGGCAACAAGGGCCCCAAAAGTGATTTGTGCACTTGACATTAGTCTATATTTTAAGCCACAGCACCCTGAAAATAATCTTCAAATTTGGTGAAAGTCCCTTCCAGACATTAAGACAAAATAACTGGGGTACCCCAAGTGCTCCCCATAGTGATTTTTATGTAGGGCATGAAGGTTAACTTTCAAGCCAGGCTATTGCAACGGTACCTTCTAATTTAAGTGCAAAACTGTCCCATCTGTTTATGAGAACCTAATGCAAGGGCGAGGGCTGAAGGACCTGCAGAGTGATCTTTATGTATGCTGTATGATGTGTATTTCAAGTCATAGCATCCCACGTACACCCTCCAAAGTTGGTGAAAATCCATCCCACCATTTTCATGGGATGCAGCCATACATTTGTTGTAAGCCGCCTAGAGTGGTCAACATGACTAGATAAGCGGGGTATAAATACAATAAATAAATAAATAAAAATAAAAAATACATGAATGACAGAAATTTACTTTGAACTGTACAGACACTCAGCTAAACCGCCAGTGATCAATATCTGATGAGTTAATGGGATAATGTAACAATTCTGCCTTTGAATATCAGATGGTAGGAATGCACACATAAAAAAGTCACAACTTCTCCAATCTTTTTCCTTGTATACACCTATGGGCCTCTGAGTGGCTCCTCTGGAAAACGTGATGCTGAATGTCAAATCAAAGTCCTATATGGACTTGATCTGATCTTGAAATACAATTCTTACAGTGGGGGGGGGGCAGAGTGCAGCCAGTGGGATTACATGCAGCTCTTAGGCCTTGCCTAAAGAGCCCTCAGGCTCCTCCATGCCCTCCCTGGCCAGCAATCAATCAATCAATCAATCAATCAATCAATCAATCAATCAATCAATCAATCAATCAATCTTAAAACTGCAAAGCTGGAAGGGACCCAATGGATCACTGAGCACAACCCCTCTCTAGGAGGCACAGTGGGAAATCGAACTGCCAACCTGTGGCTTTGCAGCCAGATATTTAAACCATTGATCAAGGAAGGACAGATGAAAAGGCATACAGTACTTTCTGCTGCCGCAGCAGCATTTCCTCCAGAAAACAGTATGCCAAGCCCACCCTCCACAACAATAACAGAAAGTACAATTCTATAAAATTAAACTATACTGTTTTCCAAATTTTATGGAGAGGAGCAACCTATGATGATATGAAGGGCAGGAACCCTGGTTTTTGGACCCTCTGAGATACCCCACCAATCTGAGAGACTTTTGTAAATTTCAGAGCTATGGTTCAAACTAAACCAGTAAACAAAAAGCTACTACCCCAAGCTCTGCTGGTAGCAAGAAGGACAAGTGAGTAGAAGGATTTTAGGAAAGAGAAGAAGTGATGGGAGTTTTGGGGAAGTGGCAATGATTTCAGTAGTTATTTGATCAGTTTGAACTGGCTAGGATCACTTTCCTTCAACCAGCACAATTCCCCAGTCTTGTACACGTATGGGCTACAACACAGAGGTTCCAATAACATGATTCTGATTCTAGAAATCTGTTTTGGCAGGATTAAAAGAACTGTGAGTTCACAATTTACATCAAGGGCTGTTTTGTGGGACAGAAAGTGGTAATTTTCTACATTACAGTTACCCCCATTTACAGAGAGACACATTCTGGCCTAGCAAAAATGAGTGCATCTGAAAAAAGAGTTGAAGTAAATTGATAAGTTAATATAAGCACTCCTAATGCGAGATATATGCCTCAAGTGATTATTATGACTTTGACACACCTTTCATTTATTTTTATTTTTAAATTAAAGCCCATCCTTATATGCATTTTTATTCAGTGGCTGAAAGCCTGTTCCAAAGCTCCCTGAGTGCAGTGGTGATGATGTAATCCTTAATGCCAAATTTCAAATTCAATTGGTGAGTCTGGGGGCATGCTGCTTCATCACACTGCGTACAAGTTGTGCACACCCGCCTATCACCTTTTATGAGGCTATCTGCCACTAATGATATCATTCCTGTTGCAAAGATGGAACTGTGCCATGTGATTTCAGACTGTTTTTCAGATTTAAAATCGTCAGAGAGGAAGAAAAGACTGTTTCCAAAAATACCGGGCTTGAATACATTTTTGGCATTTCTGAGAGCTGGTCCTCCCCTATTCATTTGTTATGTCTAATATCTTTCACTTCTAGTTCTCTTTAACTTGCTGTCTTTTCTGCTTGTCTACTAGCTACACAACAAACATCACTTAACACTGAAATATCATTTTAAAATTGGATATGCACATTCAGGAAAAAGTTCTATATTTCAGGCTTGGGTAACTGCTTTTTCTTTTCAAAGGAAAAAGCATTTAGATTAAGCATCCTTCAGTCTCGAGAGACAATGGTAACGTGCTCTGAAGCATAATGTAATATATAATGCAAACAGATGTCAGTTCTACAAGGACTTATCAGAATGAAGTTTAGTCAACCTCCTTATAACAACATTCTATATCCTTTACGTGTGAACCTCTGCTCTCTCACTCATACCTCTTTCCAAGGAAGGAAAAACAAAAACAGAAAAAGGGAGAAAAGACACTTGTTTTTGTTTTTTTTTTTTTTTGGCAGTCCAGGGTATCCCCAAAGTTCTCCTCCAGCACCACATTTCAAATGAATCAATTTTTTTCCTGTCAACTTTCTTTACTGTCGAGCTTTCACACTCATACATTGTAACTGGAAATAACGACAGTGTGGATGATCTTGGTCTTGGTCTCCAATGAAATACGCTTACACTTTATTATTTTTTTCTAGTCCCTTCACTGCTGCCCTTCCCAGCCTCAAGTTTCTTCTGATTGCTTGGTTAGAATCTCCATGTGGGTTGATGACTGAACGGTGGTATAAGAAGACCATAATTCTGCAAAAGGGGGGGGGGGCAACAGGAAAAGAGGAAGACCAAACACGATTTGGTCTGGCTCCCTAAAAAAGAAGCCACAGGCTTGAGTCTGCAGGAGCTGAGCGGAGCTTGTTAAAGACAGGACATTTTAGAGATCACCCATTCATTCACAGGGTTCGCTATAAGTCGGGGGACGACTTGGCGGCACGTAACAGCAACAACAAAAATACAGGCTTGTATGAATGAGAGGAGGCGCACCTACCAGGCAGCGAAGGCTCCGGAGCAGCTGCTCCCGCTGCCATTCTTCCCCCGCCCGCGTTTCAGTTCCGAAAGAGAAACCACCTCCGGCCCCTCCCCTCCCTGGGCGGCGCAACATTTTGTCGTCACTCCCACCCCATCCCCTTCGACGTCGAGATCACGAGAGAGACCACGTGGCGTTGTTTTCTTGTTTCGAAGGCGGGGAGGCGAAGCGGAGGTTCTTCGCCTTTGCCTCCCGGGAGGGGGGGGCGTGTGACTCGAAGACTCGCTTTTCCAGGAGGACTCCAAGCTGCGTCTAATGGGCCGAAGGGCTGCAGCTTGTGCAGGGTGAACAACAACCCGCAGTTGTGTTGCTCTGGATGAAACACACACAAACGGCCTTCCACGGCCTCTAATGGAGCAGGAAGAGGGTAATATTTATTATCGAGTGGATGGTGAATAGGAACAGCATCTGGGAAGCTAAAGCCGAAGAAAACGAAGACCCTATTTATTGTTAAGAGAGTCGGGGAGCATTAAACTGAAAGACTGAATTTGCCAGAGAGAGATTCGGATTAACAACCTAAGATTTTCCGTTTTTAATTCTAAGGAACACTTGCATGTGTAAAAAAACAAAACACAACCCATCATAAGATAGAAACAAATGGCAAAGTGTACACCTTCTGGCCTCTGAATCAAATCGCCGAAAGTTTAATCGGGTTTTATTAATTCTACTATTCTGCTTTTGTAAGCTGTCTTGAGTGCTTTGGATGAAAGGTGGTTGTATATTCGACACATATTTTAGGCAGCACTCCATGGCTATAGTAAACCACTCGTTATGTCCGAGCGACGACCTGTCTCTCTTCTACCCCACGAGCACTTCTTTAAACCGAAGGTGGGCACCTGTAGCTCTCTAAATATTGTTGGACTCCCGGTCCCATGGTCCTTCACCACTGGATATGCTTACTAGGACATGGGGGCTGCAGTCCAAGAAATAATTTGCCTGCCCTTAATTTGATCACATCCGGCTATTAGGGGAAAAACTGAATTAGGACGAAAACAGGAAGACTGGGTTGCTTAACGTATTGTTTTAGAAAGGACGAGGTTCCCCCTTAAACGCAGCTCGGCTTAACCCTGTTATTGTTGCTGGTTTTCTTTACGACAATCAAAGGGCAGCCTCCCCACTCCTGTCTGACAAACAACCGCTTTAAATAAGTCAGGAGCTTCCGTCTCCCGAGAAACACGTCTTGGCTACGCCGGCTTTTATTTTCCTGTTTCCACACGTCCGTTTCCTAAACCCGGGAGTTGCTTTTTTTTTCTTTGCAGGAGAGAGGCCCGCCTGGGCTGAACCGCGCATGCGGCTGGGCAGGTCCTCTCGCCGGCATCGTCTTTTCCTACCGCAAGCCACAGCTGGGTTTACTTCAGGACACCCGGCCGGCCGGCCAGCCAAACACACAAACAAACCGGCCGGTGTGTGTCAGCCTCCCCGGCGATGGGCTCAGACTGGAGCAGCCCCGAAGAGCGAGAGCCCCTCTTGCAGCACCAGCCGCCGCCGCCGCCACCAACACCGCCCAGGCGCCCCGTTTTGCCCGAGCGGTACCCTCAGCATGGGGGGCTCGCCGGGGCGGCGGCGGCGGCGGCGATCGCTGCCCCCGGGGCCCAAGGCCGGAGCCAAAGGCCGGCTCGCGCGGGGCCGCCGCCGCCGCTGCTACCGCCGCGCCTGACGCCGGTGCCGCGCCGCGTCTACGCTCGGCGCTGGCTGGTCCTGCTGCTCTTCTCGCTGCTGGCCTTCGTGCAAGGCCTGGTGTGGAACACCTGGGGCCCCATCCAGAACTCGGCCCGCCAGGCCTTTCCCTTCTCCAGCTTGGACATCGCCCTGCTCGTCTTCTGGGGGCCCATCGGCTTCGTGCCCTGCTTCGCCTTCATGTGGCTCATGGACAAGAAGGGTAAGGACGTGGGGACAGGCGGGGGCTAGCCAGGAGCCTGCCGTCCCTTCTGGTTGCGCCCCCCCCCCGTTTGGGTGGAAACAGAAATAGTTGTTGGCATCAAAGAAGGGGGAAACGGGCGTGGCAGTTCTTTTTTTGTTAAGGCTTGCACACAACAACCCTGCTAGTAGGTGTTGTTCTTAGCCTTCAAGTCGGAACCGACTTATGGCGACCCTGATAGGGATTTCAAGGTAAGTGAGATATATAAGAAGCGGTGAGATATATAAGAAGTGGCTTTGACAATGCCACACTCCCAGTGAGTTTCTATGGTTGAGCAGGGATTCGAACTCAGGCCTTCCTTCTAGTCCCTTACTCAGTACACTACATCATGGGGTCCCAACCTTGGGTCCCCACATGTTCTTGCACTCCAACTCCCAGAAATCCTGGCCAGCACAACTAGTAGTGAAGGCTTGTGGGAGTTGTAGTCCAAGAACATCTGGGGACCCAAGGTTGGGAACCACTGCACTACATGACACTGGGTATCTGCCAAATACATAGGTGGGGGCTAAAACATGTTGCTCCCTTCTGTCCCCAGGTCCAAATAGTACTCTCTAGCAGAAGGAAAGTATTTGTAAAGTGAAGCTCTCTTGTGTGTGCATATAATTGCTATGTTGGTTGAATATACAGTCCTGTACTGTAGCTATTTAAAACAAAACTAGTTCCTCTAGCTTTGATAAATTTATCTGAGACAAACCTAATCCATAATCTATCGTGTACTTTTTATATAGTGTCTGAAATCCTGTTGCTGTTTGCACAAAGTTTTATATCTTCCCCTGACTAGGTGGTAACATACTGGAGTGCATCTCCATTGCACAATTCGGGCATGTGACTAGGCATGTGCCCAAAATGAACCTTGGCACATGATCATTGTGTGAACACCAGGAAAACATCTGAGGAGTAGCAGTCTTTGTGTGCCTGTCCACTTTCTCAGAGAGCTGGTGCTGGCCCAAATCGGGGAGAAGGGCAGCCAAATGAGCAGAGATGGCTGCTCTTTTGAGTTATCATTTGCCGAAGGGGGTGTGGAAGTTTTGATTGGCCTTACTAAGCAGATCAGAAATTGTACTCTCCAGCTCCTTTCTTTCCAGACAAGCCTCATCTGCTTTTTTCAAAGGAGGCAATTGTTCACTAGACATTGCTCTGGGTGAGATACTCTTCAAGAATTGGAACCAATGCTTTCCTGGCCTTTTGCTTTTAAGGGAAAAGCCAATGTATGCCGCTGCTGACCATATACCACTGTTGGAAGGTGCCTTCCAGGAAAGAGATGGTGGAGGGTATGCCTTTTTTAAGGTAGACACTGCATGGCTATTGCATTCTCAGTGCCTTGGCTGTGCAATGTGAATTCTCCACTTTACTTTGAGGCTAGGTAGGACATCGTGGGAATTGCTGCACAACTAGGATTATCTTCTCTCCTCTCTGCAGCTTCAGATTTGGGGTGAAAACTATTTGCTCAGTGTCTTCACCAGAGGGTGAGCATAGCAAGGGGCATTTCCAAAGCCTCCATATTCAACCTACGCACAACTGCTTTGGGCAGAGTAGTTTGGAGGGAGAAAATGTTGCACAGAGAAGGATTCCATCCCCTCAAAAAGGTGCTCGTCCTCCTAGCAGTCCTCAGTGGCAACTAGTTGGGGATTGGTGTTAGTGAGTTGATCTGAGGTCGCTGCAGCTGTCCAACAGTGTCAACTTGCAATGCTTGACTTACTTAATCAGTGATTGTCTAAAAGCAGTGGTTCCCAACCTCGGGTAACCCAGGTGTTCTTTGATTGCAATGCCCAGAAGCCTTCACCACCAGCTTTGCTGGCTGGTGTTTCTGGGAGTTGCAGGCCAAGAACATGTGGGTTATTCAAGGTTGAGGACCATTACACTAAAGTATTAATAGTTCTGATGTGTATAGAAGAATGTACAGAAATAAAAACAGATCCTTGATACGAAATCATTTAAATTTGTTTTGCATCTTTCCCAACTGCAATAATTTTAGGGTGTCCTGAAATTGTTATTGTGGAATAAGAAAAATGGCTGATCTGTTATGAAGATTATTAGAGCAAATAATATGAGAAAGAAACCCCAAAGTTATAATGTACCATTTAGAAATTTTGGCTGTTGGTTATATATTTAAGAATACACTCTCACTGGGTTCTGAAAAGAAATTAAACAAAACAAAAACCCAACCTATAAAGTTTCAGGTCTTTGTATTTATAGTAGCTTTTTCAGTTGTGTCCATTGTCTGTAACAGCCATAGTTCACTGCTGTATCAAACGAAATCACTTTTGGTAAAGACTGTTTCAGTTATTGCCTCAGAGGTATCAGACCTAAGTTGACCATGGTGAAGTAAGTTTTCTAGTTGCCTGGATCTAGTCACATAGTTCCCTTGATATGTTTTACAGTTTATTTGCAAGAACACTTTTGCTCAGGTGGAACAAAAACCAGAATCCATCATGTTTTATTAATGATCAAGTGCAAACACACACAAACTGAAATCTAGTAATAGATAGCAACTAGAGTGGGCCCAGTAATGATTTGGTGAGTGAATACTATGCAAGTTCCCTTGACTCAGTGGATCTACTCTTTGTTGTTGTTTAGTCGTTAAGTCATGTGACCCCATGGACCAGAGCACGCCAGGCCCTCCTGTCTTCCACTACCTCCCTGAGTTAGGTCAATTCATGTTGGTAGCTTCGGTGACACTGTCCAACCATCTTGTCCTCTGTCATCCCCTTCTCCTCTTGCCTTCACACTTTCCTAACATCAAGGTCTTTTCCAGGGAGTCTTCTCTTCTCATGAGATGGCCAAAGTATTGGAGCCTCAGCTTCAGGATCTGTCTTTCCAGTGAGCACTCAGGGTTGATTTCTCTACTCTAATTGTGATTTAAATACTGGATTTTAGTTATGGCGTGCAACATAACAAGTTCCCTAGATAAGGTTAGAGAAGTCACAAGGCATAAAAATCCAAATATTTGGCTAGTTGTTCCAAACCATGATGAGTAACAGTCATTCTAGTTCCAAATGGTAAAATGGGCCTTGATGTGGAGTGGCAATAGTCTGCATTTTTAGCAGAGTGGATAAGATCAGTAATTTTTTAATTTTAAAATGTAATATTTTAAAATAATAATTGAAATAAAATGAATTTTTAAAAATTTAAATAGCAAAAAATTTGATTTTTAAAATTTAAATTGTGATTTAAATCAAGTTAATTTAAATCAAATCTGCCCTGATTTTTGGTCCTGATGTACAATACTCTGTGTGTTGTAGAGAATGTAGTTTAGAACTAGGTTGATACTCCTGCTTGTTTAGGATTTTATGCTGAAGCCTGTTTTTTAAAGTTCATATTAGGTTACTGTAACAGTGGCAGAATGTTATCTTTAGAATTGGGGAGAATTGATAAGCTAGTGTTTCAGAAAAAGGTTGTTATGACGCACAGGTGGGAGATAATTTTGAAATGAGGGACCTTTTTGAATCTGCAACCAACTTGTTGAAGGTTTAAAAGTCCTGTCATTCTTCCCTTTATCTCTTATTCTGAACTTTCTTTGTTACTACTGCCACAGTTTGTATTTCTCATTGTCAGTGTTCTCTCTATGCATCCTTAGTTCAGAAAAAAATGTGGGATGTTCTAGGAAGAAGTACAGCTGCATGTTTGGGAGGTGGTTAAACAGAGAAGGATTAGTGGGCCAAAAGAATTGAAAGTTGATCAGACTTGCTGGCCAGTTTCATTTTGTTGGGAAGACAAGACTAACATGTCTCTGTAATTGTTCTTGATGGTGTGGGATATTCTGAATGGGAGAGGACAGAGGGGGGAATTTCTTCTTAGCTAAGAATAAACTAATCAAGATGTCTGGGTGTTGAAACACCAATAAATAGGTTTTGAGTGACATTCAGATTGAAGGAAAGAGAAAGCTAGCTGATTTTAAACACTGGAAGATTATTGTATTTTGGGGTGCTGATGAAAGATCTCACATGGGAGCATGCCTGTTTGTTTGAATGTTTCAACGGTGTGTTCCACTTGCACTGAGGCAGTTCTATAAATAAAGAAAATATTCAAATATTACAGAGAATTAAAAGTCACCATCCAAAGGAAGCCATATTTGATTAGAGGCCTCTTGAACTTTCTGGTACTTGGAAAAATTGTGTAGATATTAATAAGCCCAGGTGCCCTTTGAGCTTCATTCACACCAGAAATGTTCCTGGTTCAGAGTATGTTTTCTGGAATGTGTTAGAAATGAGTATGGAAAATGTTGTAGCTGGTTTTAGAAGATAGTACTCACTGAAATGCATCACCAAGGAGAATGTCTGGTACCGTGACTTAATTCTGTCTTGGCTGGCTTAATTATATGTTCTCCACAGAAGTATTTAAAAAAGCATGGTAAAAGTTGTAAAGCATTACAACTGTTTTTGCACAGAAAATGTATGTAAAACGGAACCATAGAAAATTATGCATAACTGCCAGGGACTCATTGTGCAGCAACCGGGATTGACTCCATTTTGTCCATGCAGGCCAACGGGATCCATACTTCCCCCTTCCCCCCACTTCAACAAGCGTGTTCCCGAAATGAGACAGAAAACGTCCAGTCCTGTGGCAGAAGGGGTTTGAGGCCGGTTCATGTTGGGGCCCTTAATACCAACATCTCTGCCGCTGCCACCACTCCCCCTTCCCTGGAGGGAGTCACAAGAAATTCAGGCCAGAATTCGGGTTTCGAGAGTTATGACGATGTTCCGAAAGAAGATGACATGACTATATTTGAATAAATGTAGATTGTTGTACATGGACAAATAAAACATCCCTTGAAAATAACCATTTTTGGAGCAAAAATTAATATAAGACCTGGTCTTATTTTCAGGGAAACAGGGAATTTACCAACCTCAGAAGGATGGAAGGCTGAGTCAACCTCGAGCCAGCTGCCTGAATCTAATAAGATCAAACTCAGGTCATGAGCAGGGTCTTTGACTCTAGTACCGTAGTTTAACCACTGTGTC